GTTCCCACAATAGTCACTGTTAGGAAGTTACTTCTTTATTCCAGATTGCTTCTCTCCTGGATTAGTTTCTATCCATTGTTTCTTGTCCTGCCTTCTGGTGCTTTGATTCCCCTCTTCTTTGTGGCAGCCCCTCAAGTATTGGAATACTGCTGTCATGTTCTTTTGTCTACATCGGGGATACCCAAATCTGTAACCGTTCTTCATATGTTTTAGTCTCCAGGACTTTAATCATCTTAGTCACTCTTCTCTGCACTTTTTCCAAAGTCTCAACATTTTTTTTGGTAATGTGGTGACCAAAACTGGATGCAGTATTTCCAGTGAGGTCTTACTAAAATTTTATAAAGGCTTTTTTATAAAGAAGTTCACCTTTTTTATTCTATGCCTCTGTTTATGCAACTAAGGACTGTGTTAGCTTTTTTGGCTGCTGCCACACACTGCTGGCTCACTGCTGTACACTGCTGATTAAGTGACAGCTTAGTGTAACTAAGAGAATTCACTGTTGAAAAGGATATGTTTTAGCCTAGCAACAGTTGTTAGGTGAAGTATAATCCATCTACTGTAATTGGAGGAGAAACTGCTGTCAGTTCATTGTGACACAAAACCTAACAATGGAAGTGTTATCTAAGATACATAAGTCTTCACAGTATTGGGGCATCACAACAGAAGATTTAATGGTTATATAGCAGTGAATAGATGTCCAAGTTGTGTTCCAAATGAGAAATAATAATGACTAATAAGAATGATCAAATTGAGATTTCAACCCTTGGTAAATTAGCTGCTCATGTCCCTGATATCATTGTGTATGGAGATTTTGCTCAGGAAATGCCTTTTATTGAAAGCTTTGATGGTGTTCTGCTTTTTATGGACATTTCAGGTAAGCAAAGGAAATCAGTATGTCACTGAGGGAAGAGGAAGGATTTCAAAGAGAGGTTTTTTTAAATGGAAACCTAAAATACTAAATGAGAAAAAATAGTGCAAACCTTTGCTGCTCTTCCTGAAAATAAAGCAAGGTTTCAAAATATCCATACAAACACACAGTAAACCTCAATGGAATTACTGATTTTTCAATGTGCATCTATTTAATTATTTTTCTTTTCTTGGCAAAAAAGAACTTACTTTGAGGATATAGAAATACGCAGTGCAGGAAATAATGTTCTATGTGTCAACTGCTGTCAATGAGAGATTCTATGGAGATTTTCCTTTGTCAGTTGAAACTTATAGCTGTTTGTTTCTCTTCTTCAAGCTAAGATTTTCTTTTTAAAGTCTAATGAATCAGCTCCTACTTGTCCTTCTTTTATCCCTAATCCATAGCATGTTTTACTGATAGCAGTTGCTTATGATTTTCAAGGTTTCACAGCTCTGACAGAAAAGTTTAGCATGAACACCAGCTTGGATCGTGGTGCTGATGAATTAACACAGACCCTTAATCACTATGTGGGTGATATTGTTGAAGGTGAGTTTCGAACTATGTATGATCTGACTTTGAAGAATATCCATCATAAACAGAGTATTTCCAAACTATCTTTGTTTGAAAGCAGACCTTTACTCTTTCTAGAAAACAGAACAAAGCTGTGCACAGAGGCATAAAACAGATCCACAGATGTTACTTCTTTGTTATAATGCTTCAGCTTCAGAGATGCCAAATCCTTTCACTAATCATATTACAGTGTTCTTGTCATTGGAAGAATGTGTCCAATTAGTAATGCCAGTGAATGTTTATTAGGCCAACTATGTGTTTTGCCACATTAAAAAGTGGGCAGGAGATTCACTATGAATGTACTAGTAAAGTAGAAGTATACAATAAAGGATTAATTAAGCAAAGCACTGCAAAGAAACTGCAAAGTATAAGACTGGGAATATCCATAGACAAGGCAATGAAAAAGATGTAGCAACATTTGCCAAAAAATGTGAAAGAGAATAAAATCTTACATCCCTATGGTCATTGAAAGACTATCCTTATCAAAAGTGGGATTAGTTGAAATAGTCTGGGGGATATCCCTCAGACAATTCCAACTGATGTAAAGCACTCTCCTTGGGCAGGCCTCTTCCTACATCCATTTCAGAAAACTTGTATAATATTCTACTGCAATTATTCAACCTATTTGTGCATCTTCATTGTTTAGATTTCTTGCCTAATAATTTTTATTTATTATTATCTTTACGTTCATTTGATGTCCATCTTGACTCTGGGTAGGTTATTGTTTACATGAGAAAGTACTAGCTCAGGGACGTCAAGTTTGATTTATTGAGGGTCTCATCAGGGTTGTGTTTGACCTCAGGGGACCTGGGGGGGCAGGGGGGCATGGCCAGCTCAATGTGACTTATGTTGGGGGTACCTGTGGTGGCCAAGTGCTAAAGCAGGACTGCCCTCAGACCCCTCCATCTCTCTCACTATAATCTCTCTTCCTTCCTTCCTTCCTTCCTTCCTTCCTTCCTTCCTTCCTTCCTTCCTTCCTTCCTTCCCTCCTTCCTTCCTTCCTTGTTCCTTCTTTTTTTCTTCCTTCTCCTCTTTCCTTCTTTTTCCTTATTTGCTCTCTTCCCATCTTTCCTTCTTTTTCTTTGTCTTTCCTTTTTCCCTTTCTCCTTTTGTGTCCCTTCTCAAGCATTTCTCCTTTTGTTTTGTTTTTAATTTGTTTTGCTAGCTCTCTGCCAGTGAAAATGGAGCTTGAGGGGTCGCACATGGCCCTCCTGTGTTCTGTTTTTGATGGCAGAGGCACCACAGCCAGCCCTTCACTGTTTCCAAGGGCCAGATCTAAGCACCCTGCAGACCAGTTCTGGCCCACAGGCCTTGAATTTGACACCCCTGTACTAGCTCATCTATTATGTCCTCATTATCTGACTAGCCTTGGCAAAACACATTTCAAAGACACAAGCACTTGCTTTTAACTATATAAAAATGTCCAATTAAGGTATTGGGGTAACAATGATTAGAGGGTTGAGAACTTTTGAGAAGCCAAAACTTCATCTGGCCATATTCTGCACAAACATTGTATACATATGCCATTGTATACATAAAAATGTCCTCCCCAAAAAGGTTGTACTGCTTAAGTTTTCTGACATTTGTAGGGTTTTTTAAATACATATTTAGAGTTGGTTTCCATAATAGCATTACAACATGACATTTCTGATATGCTGCAACCCTTGTACCTCTTCCCACCTTCAAAGATTTGATTTGCAAAAGATATGAATGCAACCTCTGAGTTGTGTGTACAGTATTTGTTTTAGGGTGTGCCGGTTTGAAGTTCATTGCTATTGATACATTGAATGTTTTCTGATAATGAAGATTTGAAAATGAGTGGGGCAGAGAGAAAACATCTCCAATTTATTATGTGTGCAAAGGATATTGTCAGGCTACAGAACTTTTCCCATTCACTCAACTAGAATGAACTTCTGAAAAAGTATCAAAACGTATCAAAAAGGAATCCTTTATTGAGATGAGACAATTCCTGTAGGAGTTCAAAGCAGTGTCTGAGGTCTCTCAGGCATACAGGCATACAAGGGAGTTTAGAACCCCTCCCCTTATCTCGATGTGTATTTAGTGAAACAAAAGCCAGTATGTTAATTCCTCCCCACCCCTTTTGTAAGGAACGATCTTTTCCACAGTTTCCCAGGGCATACCTAATCCCCCCCACTCCACTTTTAGAATGAACAATTCAAGAGATTCCCAAGACACAACTCACTGTGGAATTTTTATGACCTTCTCATCTCCTGGTTGTGCCTCTCAGAGGTGATAGTTCTGGCCATCTGGCTTTTCTCCCTCCATCATATGATGTGTGGGTTATACAAATTCGATATAAGATTAAATATATTCAGGTTACATCAAGAAAGGATTTCTTTATTAGCCCCCCCCCCCTTTCTTCTTCCACTGAAGAAATGACAGACGGAGCTGACAGATATTAATGATATTACTTTTTTCTGCAGTGGTAATAGCCAGGTTATTGAAAATTAGAGAATTATCTGAATAAATTCTAATCATTTAGAAAGAGTCTAAGGAGTTTAGATGATGATCCTTTGCCATGCTCACTTCACTGCCAGCCAACCACCACTGCCCAATCACAGTTAGCTTTCCTGCTCTGCTGCCACACTGCCAGCTATTCTCCACAGTCAAAGGCCCCCCAACTCTCCACCTCCAGCCCTTTGTCCTGGCCCATTCTCTGAGGCATGGTGTAATCCAGGTGTTTCACTGCATGGGACAAGTAGCCACCATCCAATCAAGAGGCAGAGGAGCCCTGTGCCCTGCTAAGCTCCTGACTTCTCACATGTGCCTGACATCAGGGGAGGGGGCTGTGTGAAGAGCTGTGCCTGTTTTAAAGAGCCATCCATGCCAGCTCCCTTGCCTGCTTGGCTCCACTGGTCATTCGCAGAAGAAACAGGTTGATGGGCGTTGCTAGAAAGGACACTGGGAAGTGTTTAGATCTGGCCTGCAACACCACCCTAGAAACAGCAAAAGACTGGTTCGCAGTGCCTTGACCTAGCCCAGGCTGACCGGGCGCTGATCAGCAACCTGGTGGCAGCCATCTGGGCCAAACCGTGGCCAGCCTTAGATTGGCAGCGCTGCCTTGGCCTCACCCCGAGTGGCCCAGGAGGTGGTGAGCTGGCATGCCTGGGGACTGCATTCTGAGTGCTTCCCTTTCACCCAAGATGCCAGCCCTCACATGCTCACCACCTCCTGTGCACATGAGGTAGTGCTGGGGTGGTGCTGCAGAACTAAGACTGGCCACAGTCTGACCTGGATGGCCACCACCAGGTTGAAGATCAGTGCCATGCCTACACCAAGACACTAGCTCTCGTGTGCCCACTGCCTCCTGTGTGTATGCCCAGGGGCTGAGGCAGTGTCGTGAATCTAAGTCTGGCTGCAGTCCAACCTGGATGGCCATCACTAGGTTGCAGATCAGCACTGCACCTGCACCAGGATGTCCATGCCCTGCTTGTTGGTCTTTCACTGAGACTCCCCTGCTCCCACATGGGAAAGCCATGGTGTGAATCTCTCCCCCTCCCCTCATCCCTTTCTGAGCATGGAGGAAGGAAAAAGATGGGAAGGAGATAGAATGGGACCTTTAGGCCATGGGGCTTCTGCCTGTCAGCATGCAATGGGTGATTTCAGGGGCTGTGTGGGGGACGTGGCAGGTGAGTGGCAGTGGCGTGCAGTTTCTGGCATTGTGGAGGAGGGGCAGAAGCAGAACTTCCCTCTTGGCATCAGGCATAGAGTCAGTCCAGGAAATTTCAGGTTGTATTCCTATCACGTCAGAGCAAAATCCATGATTTTGCATGGTTTTGCTTCATGCTCCCTCATCAGAGCGTCTCAATTGGGACTGGAAACACCCTGGAAGGGTGGTGAAGAAAGGGAGATCCATTGGAGGGTCAAAGGGAGTCGCATCTCCCTTCCTCGACAGGGAAAACCCCCTCTGAAGACGAGCTGCAGGGGTGGTCAAAAATGGCCACCATGAAGACAGGAGGCAGTCTGGGAAAATAAGACTGTGCTGGAGCGGAAAGTTGTGAGCAAAGTGTGAACCAGGCATAATTTAGGATAATAAGGTACCTCGGAATTAAGAAACAAAGAAATTGTCAGAAAAGATTGTAAAAGCGGTGACCAGAGAGAGAGAGAAAAAATTGGAAACCAGTGAAAGTGGCTTAGAACTTTGAAAAAAACTAAATTGAAAGAGAAAGTTAGAAGAAGAAAAATTGACTATAAAAGATTTGGAAATTAAACTGGATAAATATATGATTTTGGCACTAAACAGGCATAACTAAATGCTGAAATTGAACATGTTAAAAAGAAATAATAGTTAATAATTGGAATCATTGAATTATTGGAATCTAAAAGCCTAAAAAGGGAAAGAAAGTGAAAAGAAAAGGTGGAACTTGGACATAACAGAGAGCGCCACCTAATGGTAAAGGAAAAATTTCAGTGACTCTTTGAAAAGTGCTTGGTCCTTTTTAAACTAGAACTTGATATAAAATAAGAGGAACTTTATTATAATAATACAGAAACCCTGAAGAGTGAAAAAACAGAATATTATAAAGAAAGAAAATGTTATAAAGAAAGAAGTGTGAAGAAATTACCCTGGGATTACTTTGGTGACTTTGAAAAAATTGAAAGAGGAATTAACAGAAGGAACCTGGAAATAAAGATTTATGGACATTGATTGTTGGAAATAAATATCAAAGATGCTGGTTGAAATACATTATTGGACAATTGGATTGGACTTAAACATTAAAGAAAAGGAAAAATAAAAATTAAAAGAAGTGCACAAAATGGCAGAACTTTGTCTGGAAATAAAATTGGAATTAAGAAGCATAAAAGAAATGATACATGAGCCATAATCATTACAATTATGACAAATCACAGCTTGAACTATCTTGCTTTGCATGAAATAAGTCTATCTGATATATTAGGTTCACCTTTTAAGTTGCATTACTGAAATAAATGAACTTTTGCACAATATTCTAATT